GCACAGTGCGTATCATGGTTTATTGAAACCAAATCGGATCTGCAGACTCAGCGAAACTTCAGAACTAAGTATGGAAGAGATCCACCGTACCGTCCATCAGTTCGTGCATAGCACAAGAAAATTAAAGAGACAGGGACAGTGTTCGATAAAAGGAAGAATGGGCGACTATCTGAGGAAAACATCGATCTTGTAAGAAATCAAGTATCGTCTTGATGTGCTTCGTGCAACCAATGGTGCCCATATAGAGGTGTATTAAATGAGGCAGGAAAAACTTAAATATACACGTCTCATTTTGTAATAATTTACACTTATCTGTCTTCTTATTTGCCTTTGTAATAAATTTTTGAAATTGTAAAGAGACTTTATGGATACCCTGAACATTAAACACCGTCACTTTGACCTCCCATAAAATCTTAATCCTCTCATATACATAAAGAGAGAGAGAGAGAGAGAGAGAGAGAGAGAAAGAGAGAGATTATCAATTTTAAAACTTGAAAGTCTCAATTCGCGCCCTAAATTTTTCTTCTCGTCGAGCTAGTCGAATTTCACGCTAGATCAAATTTCACCATCTAGGGCTTCGAAATGTTTTGAAATGAAACAGATTCGACTGTTTCGTCGTATCGCAAAAACGAATCTGTTGAAGGAAGACCGATACACCAATACACCGCCGAAGAAAAGTTGAAAAAAAAGGGGCGTAAAGAAAGTGCAAAGCGACGAAGAAGAAAAAAAGCGGGGGAGGGGGAAGAGAAAGAGAGACGAAGGAAACCTTGAAGAAAGAGTACCGTGACGTAGCGGCAGGGGAAGGAGTAGGTAGATAGATAGTAATGGGGCCCGAGGGACGAGAGGGGTAACACGATTAGATGGCAGAGGACTGGGTGGAACGATTCGGCCGGGTTGATTTATCCACGTAGCGAAGCGTTATTGCATTAGCGGGCCGAGGACGATGCCAGTGGCCAGCGTCCCGGCATCGCGGCCACCAGAAATCCTTCTGTCCAGTCGACCGTGAATCATCCCCAAGAATTATGTCTTGGACGGTGGTGCCAAGACGCGCGATTTGTCGCCGGACGGCTCGAGCCTGCGCGACCAACCGCGTTTCTAACAATAAACGCCGAGCAAACGCGGGCAAACTGACGATTTTCGCTGTTGCACGCTCCTCTCCGCTTCGTGCTTCTTTTCATTTTGATTTTGACTTTGATTTCACTGCTATATAGTATGCTCCGTAGCGAGAGCATCGGGGGACGACGAGTATACGTAGACGTTAATCGAATTATTTTCTGAGTCTGTTGACCTGTTTTGAAATAGAATCTTTCTACTTCGTGAGTTTCCTGGTAACATTTTGACGAGGACCAGGATGTTTGTTTGTTTGAACAAACTTTTTCAAACGAAAATCTAACCTCAAATTTTTAAGAGACCAACAGTTATATATGTAGTCGATGTTTTTCGAATTGCAGTAAATTGAGAAAGGCTTTTCATTATGATAATTTCTTATCGTATAAATATTCCGTT